GTGTTGCCGAGACATAAATTGCGCAGCTTCCAGTAGCCTGCAGCTTAACGACATTGTCAGTTTGCCTGGGAGCTATTGACCATAATGGATACATATGTAAGCAGGAAGAGTGTTTTCTTCCCCGAGTTCGGACACACAAAACCAGCTGCAAATTGGATCTACAAGCAGAAATGAAGGCAGCGAGGGGCGCAGTGCCCTGCACAGGTTCATCTGCTGTGACACCGCCGGGGTGACAGTCACATATTCCTCATTGTCTGTTCAGTGCGTCTGTCATAGAGGCCTGCACAAGCTGCCATTAATGCTCCGTTCACTACATCACAGTCTTATAACGAGTGAAGGGACTCAATGCTACATTCAAAACAATGTGAAAATGCCAAAACCACCAATTTATATTTAATTAAAGCTGAGCTCCAGGCAAACGGCTAAATAAACAGATGAAATACATATACGGGAGCTGTATGTGTGTCCATCCAGTTCTAGGATTCACTCAGCCCTGTCTGGGAGGGCAGGAGTCCTGATTTTTTTTTCTGCAGCAGTTAGGTCACATTTACAGGTCTTGTCCCTCCCCCAGCCTGTAATTAGGCAGTGAAAGGAGAAGCAGCACACTGATGAGCTCAGCCGCTTTGCTCTCTGCTCCTATCAGCGTGTGCTTTATCACATGAGCACTGCAGCTCAAATATTTGCCTGCTTGTGCTGTTTCCCCCAGTTTGAGTTTTGCTCTAAAGGGGCTGCAAAAGCCCAATCTCAGATATTACATTTAATACAAAATAAAAAAAAAGAAGTATTACTAGATATAGAGCTGCAATAATTTGTGTCTTTTGTAACTGATTGTGATTGGAGTTCAGCTTCAAGGGTTTGTTCACATGAGAGGCTGCGTTATAACATGGCCACTGGAGTGCGCTGTGAGGAATGGCTAGCAGGCATGGCAGTGTATGTATTATATTGGGGACTATAAATATGGCTCATAACAAGCACAGAGGTCCTCCTGTCCTGCTCTGCTTTGCACACCCCACCAGACTCTGCAGTGA